ACTTATAGTAAGCTCCTTAGCATCCATCCCATCCACCTGAGCGTGGTGAGCCCGCGGCGGCAGGCAGGTTTAAAGGTAAAATGAAGGTGGCCGCCGGCAGAGGAGCGGCCTTGCTATGCAGACATCAACCATACAGGGGGACCAGGTGGGTTCGGTGTGATTTGGTGATAAATAGCAAACGTTGTGCCAGAACGCCAGCGGTGAAATATGCAAAGACGTTCTGTGTGGTCATGATTTCTCGATAAACCCAGTCAGCAGAAGAAGCACGTGATCGGGGACGCGAGATTGTTATAGCCTCCTTACTTTGCGGGTCTCGCTGTTCGGACGCCGGGAATGACATAAAGAGTGACAGGCCGGCTTCTTGGTTAGTTGCAAGCCTATGTGTCGTTTGGCTGTTGAATGGGTGGATGAGCTACCTGCCTGCTTACTTGCAGGTATTAGCTGGGGCTTGCACACACGGGCCAGGTATGCGATGAATTCTTGAGCTACATACTTAACCAGGGAGTCACACAATCAGAAGTGATTAAGCCAAATACTAGGTTATTGATCACGAGCTCCAACTATGTTACTATAACAAGGGAATCTTGGTATCTAGTTATATACTACATACCCATATCATGGTAACTTGGATCAAGTTCCTTAACAGCAACCCAGAAATATTCACCACTGGCCCACCTCATCAGAGATCGACTTGAGCATAAGTCATCCCAATCAGAAATTTGGCCCCAAGGGTCCGAGTATCCATGAACAAATCAGGGCTTAGGGTTCAGGGTACATGCTTGCCAAGGAACCTGTACCACAACTAAGAGCTGAATCCCAAATACCCTACAAATTATTGTGCACTGGGACCTTTAGGGCGACTGCAGAAAAGTCCTACTCCAGCAAACCTCAGGACCTGCGTCAACAGAACTCTGTTTGGATCCCGCGTGTTTTCAGGGTAGAGGGTTTAGGGTAATAGGGTTTAGGGTTAGGGGGGCTTAGGGTTTGGGGCTTATATAGGGGGTCTTACCTGTCCAGTGGGTCATCTCTAACGTTTCTGGGCGGTACGCATATGATACCCAAATATCTATCTCGGAAAAGCCTTATGTACTGGACGCCTAAGAAGACGATTGGTAGGCACGGGTGAAAAGCCCTAAGCCCTAAAACATAACATCCCCAACCGAGATCCAAGAAGGACATCTCGAGACTTCCCTCTCGCAGCATGCCCTGCTCCCAAACTCTCAGTCAAATACTAATCATGATTCCTATTATCACTCTTACTATACATATTACTATTATTACTCTTGCTACATTAGCATTACACTGGTTCTAATACTATGAGGATTGCTACTTCTGAGAGATGTGGACGCTGAAGGCAAGGTTCCTGAACCAAGTGCCATCGGCTCCCTGCCTCTGGCGACAACAGCTTCTGGCACCTGCTCAACCCTGAATCCTACACCTAGTACGGATACGCAGTAATTGTAGCAGAATTAAAGATAGTAACAGTACTATTGATAGCAATAGTCATTGTAATAGCAATGGTGGCAGAACTAGTATGCTAGTAATAAGCAATGGTAGTAGGATCATCCCCGCTTAGCCTTCTTCAGTTCTTCCAGTAAATTCCTATGGTGTTGCAACCCTTGAACCCACCCCTAAACCCTGAACCCACCCCTAAACCCTGAACCCACCCCTAAACCCTAAACCCACCCCTAAACCCTAAACCCCTAAACCCTAGACCGACCCCGATTTCCTGAGTCGAACTACAAAACCTGAAAGCATCTCGGCCGAAGCCGCTGAACCCCAAAGCCTCCCTTAAGGTTTAGGGTTTAGGGTTTAGGGTTTGTAAACCTAATATGAGCTATAGTCTAAACTCCTTAAAGGGGGTTATATCAGGGATTATATAGGGGACTACGATAGGGGTTCTTGGGGGGATACTAGGAGTTTAGACAATGGTTCATATAGAGGCCTAGATGATTACCAACATAATGGTCCGAGATTCGTTGTAAAACTCTTTATAGGGTACCTAAAGTAGATCTCTGGGTCTTTGTTGGATACATTCTACAAGCCAAAAGGGAATACACATCTGGCTGTTCAATATCACTCTTGCTGTATTAGCATTACCCTGACTATAATACTAGTAAGATTGCTACTCCAAAAAGGAGCTTTCAAATTCTCCAACCCGGAACCAGGCTTTTGGTTCACAGTGGCCTTGAGCAGTTGGTTTACCTCCTGGGCTCTTCAGAACCTAAAGCCCCGGGCCCAGGCAGCTGCTTTGGGTTAGGGGTTTCGAGGTTTATAGGGATTAGGGGTGAGAATATAAGAGCCATAGTCTAAACTCCTTAAAGCTCTTTATAAAGGGATTATGTGGGGGACTGATATAGGAGTATACGCAGGAGGATTCTAGGAGTTGAGACTATAGCTCAGATATGCTTTAGTGATTAAGGTGGACGGTCTAAGGCCTAAGGTGTAGGGGAGTTCAGGTTTAGGGTGTAAGGTCTGGGGTAGAAAGGCCTGGGCAGCATACTGTTGTCACGCTAGGCGAAGTTCCCCGAAATGTTAGTTTTCTTCCGGGTGTCCCTCAGATGTGGATTGTTGGATTCTGTGGAAGTGTGGGTGATGGTGCTGCAAAGTGTTGTGGGGACAGTAGTATCAGAGGGCTCAAAAGGTGGAGTAAAGGAAGGTGGGGTATGGGACATGTGCTCCCATATAATTGAGTATATACTCGGGATCCTTTAGAAGAGGAGGAGGATGGTGGTGCTGGTGCAGGGCATTTCGGAGCTGTGCCTGCCTGCAAACTTGTACTTGGAGGGTCAGGGGGACTTAGTAAGTAGGTTAATAGTATGGACAAATAGGGTTACTGTATGGATTAGAGGGATTATTAACCTGTTTACCAAGTTTCCCTGACCCTTCAAGTATCTTGTGCAAAGTTTTGGGATCCCAAGGTCCAAGCTGCAGCCGGCCGGGCCTTGCAGCGAGTCGCTTGCAGCAGCAAGACAGGCCGCATGCTTCACGGTTGACAGTATGGGTCTCAGGAAAAAAGCCTACTGTACGTAGACTTCCTGAATCTAAGGGTTTAGGAACCCAACCAATTCTGACTATAGTTCCACAAAGCGACCATAAGCCCTAAACCCTTAACCCTAAACACTCTACATGTCATAAATACTAGAATCGGAATGGATTTCATAACCATCTTTTAGTTCTTGGACCCTGGAGGTCAGAAACCCATGGGACCTGTTCAATGTGGTATAAGTCTAAAATTCGGATTGAGGGATTGTTTTTCGAATATTGGGATAAGGGTTGATATAGGCTGTAGGGTCGATGATGTGGAGCTTAGGTTTTTCGCTTTTTTATGACTTTGAGACGCTGAGGGTTTAGGGTTTAGAGAATCCGGGATTTGCGGTTCTTGAGCTAGTGTGTTTTTCAAAGTAGATAGAATATGGCTTTGTGTATATTATAATAAGATCTCAATATGCCCCATACTTCAGGACTTTGGGATAGTGATAGTCCCGACTGTCTATCCATGACCATCGACTTGGCTAAAGGACTGCAACGAGTCTTCTGCTTGGTGAGACGTTCCCAAGTCAAGTAAGCCCCCACCCAGTGCCACCCAGCCCCTACCCTCCCCCCAAAGCATGGAAGTTGATATTAGTATATAATATAAGCAAGGACATTGATGCTTGTAAGGCCCTTTTGGCGGCTTCCATGTCAGTTGCGTAAACCCCAGAGGCTGCCTGTGAGGCATGAGCTTTCCAATTTTAGGAGTTTCGCGGTTTACGGTTTTGGGTGGTCTGTGAAAGCGCCGTGCCAGATCGGGGAGCGGGTAAGTCTTGAAAATCTGCATTTTCTTTGGCCCGAAGTATAGTGATACGTCTCAGCAAACAGAAAGCGCCAGCATCATCTTACAGACTTCCGCAGACATCGCATGACTGTATTAAGACTTAAGTCTACACAGGCTAATAGATATACTGCATTATGAATCTATAGAAATCATGTTCCCAGCACCTTCCCCCAGTAGCCTCATAGGTTAACAGATGTTAACAGCCCTTGGGCTGACTTACTTCCTCGGCAGCCTGGGTACCGTATTTGCCAGGGGGCACAGCTGAAGCCCAAGTAGGATTCGCCCTACTAAGCGCTAGGCTCCCGGGATTGATGTACAAAACCCTAAACCCTAAACCCAGTACAAATTTCTTGTGGACCTGAGCATGCCTTGATCAAGATAACACATTTATGCCAGAAGAAGACTGCTCATAACAAGATACCCCAAGTAGAGATCTGTTATCTAGATAGTACTTCGGGGTTCAGGGGTAGTTGAAAAGGGTCAGAAGCAGCATAAGTATAGGCTATAAGCTAAACTAGGCAGCCTGAATGTCACCCCGTTTGTTAGCCATGAGAAGCCTATGTAGGCTCTAAGATGGCACTCCTGATAACCTGATTGAATAATCATGGCAGTGCTGCTAGCTATTTGTGCCTATGAAGTTGGTTGTTCCCAAAATTATGCTCCCATTTTTTGTACCCCTACACATTAGGTGCTGCAATATAATCTACAACCACAAGGGGCCCTAATTTTGAGATCAGCCCCAAATGCAAACTAAGACATGCCCTCCTGTGGTATCAAGCGTGGCTGTCCTGAAAGCATTGGATACCTCTCCCCTTGCATCTCCGCTACTGTACTAAACGCTTGGTCTTCGGACTTTCGGGAATCCTTTCAATCCGAAACCTCAAACATCTTGCTTTGACCATATGCAGGCCTTGAAGCTTCAACTATGAACCCACAAAGCAATAGCTGGACCCTAGACTCAACAAACCTTGAACCCTAAACCACGGCATACTGAGACCCTAAAAAGGCACTACATCTGAAATCCTACGTACCTTCAAGGCATTAGTTTTGGCCTTGAATTTGGACCCACGACCTGAAACCCTACAAATCACAATACGTACCAAAGTTAGTTTATTGGGAAGAACACCAATGACGATAGCATAAGTAAAAAAGAACCATCGCAATTGGCGGTTGATGAGCAGGCATGCAAGCGCTGATGGTTTGTGAGCCGCTTCCTGCTCTCAAGGCCCCCTGCTAGGCTATGGTGCGGGGATACGGGTTGAATTAAACGTCTAAACCCTAAGACCGTATAGGGTTCTTCAGAGATTCCTAGAGCTTGAGGTTTGGGGGTTGGGGTCGGCAGCCTCTGATTTGTTCAAGTTTCGGGTGTCGGGTTTAGTGTTTAGGTATGAAGGTTTGGTTTGGGGACTGATGGAATTCACAATAATTCCCTGCAGCCGGTCAGCTTGTGGTGTTTCTCCGTTGCTTCTATCTGATGTTGAAAGATCCTAAACCCTAAGCCCTCATCCCTAAATCCCCACACTAAGCCCCTAAACCCTAAACCACGCAGTTCCCCTTGCATCAGTGCAACGCATGTGCCGAAACCCTAAAACCTAAACTCGAATGTTACCCTGGTTTGTGACGCTGCGTGCCTTCCGAAACCTTAAACCTAGGGTTTAGGATTTAGGGATTCAAGTAGCCCAAAGTAGATACCATTACTGTTGATACTAAGAATCTTGCATGACCCTTGTATATTGTAGACCGAAGCACCGCATTTCCCAAGGTCTAGGGTACGGAAGGTTATTCAGGATTTTAGTATCTACCGCTTGATACCAAAAATCATGCATGACCTGCCCCCAGTTACTTCAATAGTAGGCTACCGGGCTATGCAACTATAGGGTATATAGAATCTAGGGCCCATTATTTAGGTAACCGGAGCCCTTGGGTACTATTGGTGGAGTTTAGGCCCCAATGTAGGCCTTCTTCATGGACCAGGATTCCTAGGGTACACTCAAAAGTACAGGTCTGCTCTACACTAGACTCAGCTGCACCATAGGCCCCTAGAGGCACCCTAATGCACCTAGCAGTTCCAGCGTTCTAGCCTCTTTCTGTTAGCTTATGAAAAGCTCTGCCCCCAGCCAAGCCGTATTTTTAATGCCTCTACCTCCTCCCTAAAATCCGGAATGGGGCCCGAATGCAGCTGTCGAAACGATCAAGGACAGCGCTTTGAGAGACAAATGTTTGATTGAAGCCGAATCTACATACATGTCTGAGTGGGCTCCAGTAATTCTTCCTTACTTTTACAGACCTCAGTTAGCAGAACTCCGAAGCAAGACAAGACTCCGGAGCACGGTGCATACTTCATAGTAAGACTTTGCCTTGTACCTGATACCATTCTCCTTATCCAGGCGATCACCCGCGCGCCGTAAACCCAAAATCCAACTCCCAAATCCTCTGCCCGACTACCCACCTCCTGGCCGTCCAACAGTTGGGATCGCACTACCATAAGAACCATAATCTAAACTCCAAGTATCCCCCTTAATAACCCTTATAGTACTCCCCTATATACTCCCCTATGTAACCCCCCCTTCAAGGAGCTCAGACTGTGGCTCATGAAGGGGGCATGATGATTTTGGGGTCCGTGCTCATCCTATCATCCTAAGCCTGACATCATCCAAGCTTCAAAAACTGTAGTAATATTATTTGGGGTTATATAGGGATAATGGAAAATACAATGGAAAATATTAGAATTCTATTTCATAATCTGGCTTTATTTTTTTGTGATTATCTGTCATTCAGATTGTTTGAATTGCTGTTGACCTCTGCGGTGGTTTCAGGATTTCCTTGAAAGCGAGGATGCAGCGCTTCAGCGGGAGGGAAGCACGCTTTGGCCCCAGGGGTTTACTGGAGGCCCTCCTGACCCAGTATCAGTAAGGTGTACTCATTCCTAGGGGTCATGTGCTTACAGGATAGTAGGCCTACCACGTCAGAAGGGCCTCCAAACAAGTTGCGAGGCTTAGGGTTTTGTGGAGTGCGAGGTTTCGGGCTTTGAGGTGGTGAAGAAGTGTAGCAAGGGATGAGCTAACTAAACAAGCGCACATAGGAATTTATGAGCGTATGAGCGGAAATGAAAGTCATATTCACGTCAAGGCTTACCTGCAGTTGTAGTTGTCAGAAGATTTCACATTGTGGCCAAGAGAACCATACTCGTGGAGCCTTCAAAAGCCATTGCCAAACATGCTTACTTCAACATGGAACTTGGTATGCACCCTACTTTCAGCATGGTTTGAATGAGGGCGTCATCTATGATAGTGCTTCGGCTGTTCTTACTGCAATTCCCCGTCTTTGCTGCAAGAGGTCAGTTGGAGAGCAGAGGCTAGGTGTGAACAAGGGCTTGGGGCTTCAGAGCGCTGAACTTGGCAGGAGGCGCTTCTCATCAGTTGTGGCAGTCACCTACGCGCCCATTTGTGGCTCTAGATAAGTGCCTGCCATAGTTGTAGAAGTGAGGCAGAAGACACGCGCCTGTGATGGCGTGAGACGCCCACAGTTGTGGCGGTGGATCTGTGAATAGGCGCCCGACATGTCATTAAGCCCCAAGCTTTGGCAGTTGATCGACGCCTGTCGGGGGGCTGGACGCCCAATGGTGGCTGCAGGTAGTTATGCGCCTGTCATGGCGTTAGGCGCACAGTTGTGGCAGTAGATAGGCGCCT